AAGAAAATCTCTAAAAAGTTACTGATTTGTTTGATTTTTAATGGAATATTTTTTTGGCAGTGAATACGCGTGATGCTTGGGTGGAATGAAATATGAGCAGAGAGTATGAGAATTTGTAGTGGGGACAAACCAGTTTTGAGCAGATGTAATATGTTGGTGATAGTAGTCCTGCAGAACAGATGATCGTATATTGAAATAGTGAGTGTTTATGTATTTAAATGTATATTCCACAATATCATTAGCGTTCTTCTATTTGGTATGCTTTGTAATTAACTTTTTCCTTTTTTACATCGTATCTTCAGGCATTGGGCTTTAATTAAATGATATAAAGAATAATCTTTACCAACTTATTGGAATGTTTCGTTTATTTTTCAGTTCTGTATACAAGTTGATATTTTCATGGACTCTTATTTTCAAATGAAATTATGTCAAAATTTTGAAAAAATATCAAGTCATTATTAGGTTTAATTAAATCTATATCAACTTTCTTTAATTAAATGATATAGAGAATAATCTATATCAATTTTATTTAATTAAATGATATAAAGAATAATCTATGTCAAGCGTGGGGTTTTTGTTTATTTTGTGTTTAGTATGGTAAACTAATTTTATGTTTATGGGGATATGTTTGTCTTGATGTGAAATTGTTGGTTGTTTTAGTTGTAGGGTATCGATTGTTGATTTTAGGGAATTGTTTTGTTTGTTTTTTACTTCTATATATAGGTTGAAATTTTCTTAAGCTCCTATTTTTAGAGCAAGCTTTGTTGAAATAGTTCCCAAAAAATATTTGAAAACTATATTAATTTCAATTTTTTTAATTAAATCACATTTAAGAATTTATTTTTTTTTAAAATTAATCGGTTGATTTACGTTGCTCTGTATCTTCAGACACGGGTTATCTCTAGTATAAATATATTATATAGCGTGATTGATTAGGAAGAAAAAAATTAGAGTGCGTAATTAAAATATTCACCTTGAATAAAATTTTTGGCTCCACCCCTGAGCATATGTAACTCAGCTTGCAGTAACTATGTACTTCGATTTTGTTTTCCTGTAAAAATGTTGATCCTATTCATTCTCTTCTTGCTTCCATATGTGACAACTAGTAAGGGATTCAATTTTTTTTTCTTGTCACAAATAGGTTTGTCAATAGATCGAAATTTGATTTAGATTGAATTTTTTAACCGATTATTCAAATTTTAAAATAAAAATTGTTATATTATATTTCATGAATTTGAATTTAAATTTACCAATATGTGCTCTAATTATAATACGATCTGAATTCTATATACATACATAAAATATCAAATGAAATTTAGGGATACGAATTCAAATGAGTTTGAATCATTTTGAATCTCTTGACGGACATAGATTTTAGCTCCTAAAACAGACAAAAGTCTTAGATTTTTCAAAGATCTTACAATCATATGGATATGTTTGGGACATGTCCTAGATCAGTAGTTTCTTGATCAGCTGACTGAATTTTGACCACCACATAAAGCTAATATAAATGTCGGCCAATTCGAGCGGAAAATATTGGACGAAACTGTGATATTATATTAGTATTATCATGTAATATTATTAATTAATAATATGTAAATAAATAAGAAAACATACCTCATACAAATCAATAACTTTTTTTTTTTTTTAAGAGGAGTGGGGAGGGTGGAAGGGGAAGGGAGTTTGAACCCTTGACCTCAAGAAGGTAAAATCTTCATAAAATAAGGAGTATTATTATACCAAAGGTTTGTTGATAATAGAAATTAATAACTACCTTTCTATGTAAGCTAATAATTACTCACTCTACTTCCATGTAATTTAATAACTACTCAATTGAAATTCACTTTACCCATTTAATATTTTATTATTGGTTAGTTGTATCATGTGAAATGTTGATATGACATTACTTTTGCATTGAATATTTACTCTAATTTGAGATGCATGACTTGCCTCGATATATATGTGTTTTTTAATTTTTTTAAGCGGACTATCTATCATTAACGAGTCAGATAGTCTCTTGTATATAATGGATCTCATTTGAAATATGATATGTAATCGATCAAAAAGATAATTGAAGAAAAAATATATTAGAGAGGATAAGACAAAAATAATAAATTTTTGAAAATTTGTTTAAAAAGACAAAAAACACTAATTTTTGTAGTATAATGCTGGAGAGACCGTTGTTTAAAGAATGAGTAATGCTATTTAAACTTAAAAATTTGACTTAATTTGTTGATCTAATAATGCAGCTTTATTTGAACCATTGGATCAATACTAAATTTTATTGTTTAATGGAGCCCAAAATCGATTCAAAGACAAAATAGTAAATTAGGTCAATAAAAAAATTAATAAATTAGATCCCAATAGCATTGCTATTGAGAAGTATACGAGGAAGTATGAAAAAAATGGCGTATTAACTTGCAAAAGTGGTCATATTTAAGTTGGGTAATGTTAAAATTGATTCAATTCGTTCATGATCTTTATAGTTATGATACGATTAGGTTTAGATCAGAATAAGTCTGGTATAATGTGTTTGTGTTGTATATAGTTAAGTTACTAGTTTATTAAGCAAAGTATAAAGGTAAAATTCAGATTCATTAGGTTTCATATTTATTTTGGTTTGAATGAATTGCAATCACTAATTGAAAAATGATAAGAGAATAAAAAGAATAAAATAAAATAATTTACATATCAAAGTTTTATTAGATAAAAGTAGAAATATAATACTAAAAAATTTATTTTTTTGGATACCATAATTAAACTTGAAATCAATGCCGGGATTATCAACCCAACCTATTAAATTTCAACTAGGTAAATAAAAATGTTAACTCCAAGAGGATTACCTCCATCAAAGTTAACCCTAGCTCCATTTAAGAGGTAATTCTCATTTAGAGAGTGTCGCACGCGTCGATCTTTTAATACGTGTAATAGTCAATCATGACTCACACAGTTGACGAGGAATCGAATCCAGACCCAAAGCGTTAATATAGTTCTTTTAGACAATCGAGACTCGTTCTATTAATCAAATTGTTCTGATGCTCAAAAAGTTGGTCCCAAGAGATTGTTAAATTTCTAATTTAGATTGTTTGTACAACTCACCATATTTACACTTGAATTATCTCTTAATTTTATTTTTTTTTACTAGATATTTAAGTTTGTACCGATTATTTTTTTCAAACTTGAAGGCTTACCACCTGACTACCTATTTGAGTTCAGGTAAAAAGAGTAAGCAAGGCTAAAAATGCTTGTGGGTTGACCCATTTCATTCCATAGAATTTAGTGTCTTGCAGGGTTCGTGATGAGGTGTACTTTATAAATTATACAGGACGTGAGTAGGCATAATGTAGAGGAGGGTGGATGGACCATTTGGTCACTCTTTCCAAGTTTTCTTTGGTAGGTGTAGTGGTTGTTGGAGAGGCTATACTATTTGTTTGTTTGTTTTCTTTTCGTACCTAAGTGGGTACGTCCAAAATCATCCACACGTAGGATGTAAGGTCTCGTTTGTCGGCAAAACATTCACAATAATATTATATTTATCAAATTTTTAATCATAAATAATGTATCATATTAACAACCTATCAAAGAAATAGATCACATTTTATTCAGCCGGTGGTGAATTTGTCACGTTATTTGGAACGAGATACTTGGTATACGGAGATTTCTCAAATATTTATGTATGACAAGTTTAAAATTCTTTAAAATCATCGTCATATTAATGGTCATATATTGGTTTTGTAGTTTAAGAGAAAGAATAACTTGTCAACTAAAGAAAACTCCACGAGTTATTCTTTTTATGTATACAAATTCGATTTTCATATGATAATTTTTGATTTATCCAATTATGTGGTTTTATGGGTGTTTGTACTATTCAGAATATGTATTGTAATCATAAATCCAATGAATACATGCCACGTACAACTCGTAGAAAAAATTAAAAATAAAATAAAGAGAGGACAAACCTCAATATTTTACCTTAGAGGCATTTGATGAGGAAGAAAGGAATATTGTTGTGTGCTTGCACATCTTTGCTAAAAGATAGCATTATGCTGATTGTGAGAGGACAATTCATGAAGTGTGAGTGGTTGTAGTTATCCTATGTTCCCAAAAAAAAAAGAAAAAGAGGACAATTCATGACTTGTTAAAGGATTAAATGGGCAATTTAGTGGTCTAAAGAGCTATTTGCTTCAAACAAAACCCTAGTCTTGATGAGTTAGAAGAAGGATTTAAACTAGTTCGAGTTAGAATAACCAATTTCAAAGTTTGAGAGAATAATTAACATAAACTTAAACATCTTATAAAGAAAAAAAAAAGCCAAAGTCTCTGCAACAAGCTTGGGTGTCAACTGACACAACCAAACAAGGGTCTAAATTCCATGAGTTTCTTCCCCATTCATTATTTGACTAAACCTTTCTTATAAATCAATTTTACCATGATTATATCCACCATCTGAGGCAGTATTTTCTGTACTTTTTTTTCTCTTTTTTTGGCAATTATATAATCAAGTATGAGGTGACCACACCCACTGGCTAAAACAATTTGGCAGATGCAAGTTATTTTATTGTTGTTGTGGGCTCAGATTATTAAAAAAGTAATTTACGGAGTAACTTAAATGTGAAGAATAAATGGTGTAGTCTCAATGTTATGTCCAATAGATTTCCTTATGCAAGATTTATATGTCGTTATATGTATATATACACGTATATTACGGTCATGAACAAAAAAGTATGTGATTGAGACCGTTAAATAACTACAAAAAACCTTTTTTTGTGAAAAACATGTTGACAACATATGATACAAGATAATGTACAATATCTTCTAAATACTTTAAGTGATCAAAGAAGTTCATGGAATAACTCTTTAGGATGATACTAGCAATTGGGTAGGTCTAAAAAATTGACTAACTTTTAGGTGGGGATGGTGACATCATAACTGCAGCCTAAGAAAATATTCCCTTGTGTATGAATCATCAATCCGTCTGTGAATCTGGAAATGCAAGCAAAGGTTTGCCCCTTCTTTGCTCCTCTCACTCTCTTAATTTCCTATTTGGCAAGCAATCAACTTTTGAGTTTGTCTTCCCACCTATCTGTCACTCTCATTTTTCCTATTGGGTAAATAATTGATTTTTTTTATTACCATGAAAGTGCTTTGTTGCTTTACTTGAGCCTGTTTTTCCACCTCTCTGAAGATAATCAACTTTCCAATTAGCTATTATATATTCTTCCTTTGCTGCTTTACTTGAGTGTGTCTTCCCACCTCTCTCTCTCTCTCTCTCTTCAACACACAAATTGGAACTTGGTAACATAATTGCTGCTGTGCAAGCAAAGATTTGCCTTTGCTTGGTTGTTTACAGGGAATATTGCTGAAAACCCACAACTTCCTCCTTCACTTAGAGAGCTGTACGTGAATTCAGGTACTGATTTTTCAGTTTACAAGACCTAAATATTGAATCTTTTACTGAAATTGAAGTGACCCATTTCAAAAATTTGTGGCTTTGAAGGTTGTTATGGAGGCAGAGAATGGTGATACGAAGTCGAAGATGGAAGATTATGAAATAGTAGAGCAGATTGGGAGGGGAGCTTTTGGAGCAGCTTTTCTTGTTCTCAATAAGATTGAGAAAAAGAAGTAAGAAATTCCCTCATCAATTTTATTTTTGGGTTTTGGCGTGTGTGTGTGTGTTGGGGGGGGGGGGGGGGGGNGGGGGGGGGGGGGGGGGGGGGGGGGGGGGGGGGGGGGGGGGGGGGGGGGGGGGGGGGGGGGGGGGGGGGGGGGGGGGGGGGGGGGGGGGGGGGGGGGGGGGGGGGGGGGGGGGGGGGGGGGGGGGGGGGGGGGGGGGGGGGGGGGGGGGGGGGGGGGGGGGGGGGGGGGGGGGGGGGGGGGGGGGGGGGGGGGGGGGGGGGGGGGGGGGGGGGGGGGGGGGGGGGGGGGGGGGGGCTATATGCTTATGAGTGTGTGTGAGCCTTTGAACATTTTCTGGGAAATTCTTATATCAGAAACTGTTTTAAAAATGGCAATCTGAAGAAGGCAATTAACAGGCTTGGAACACCTTAGTGCTTGTTGCTCCTTACTATCTACTCTAGATATTTGAAGATATTATACCAAAACAAGGGAAATTACTTCATGTGTGATTTTATCGGTAATATTAAGTGTGAATGCGATCAAAAGTTAACTTCATGTTTCCATTGTCAGCATGCCAGTTGCTTAGATGTTTGGTTTCTTTCTCTTTTCATGGAGTTTAACTTCAGTATTTTCTATTACCGGAACACAGGTACGTTTTGAAAAAGATTCGCGTGGCCAAGCAAACAGAGAAGTTCAAGCGTACAGCGCATCAGGAGGTCAATTTACTACGTTCAAAACTGTTATTGGCTATAGAAATTGATGGCATTCCATTGTAAATAAGGGTTATCATCCCACACTGAGAATGTGTCTCAGTTCTTTTTAGCTGAGTCCATTGTCATTTTTCATACCCTTCCTCTCATCAATCAAGCATATTATACACGATTTGTTTCCTTTTCTTTTTGGTCTTTTACACTGAGAATGTGACTCTTAACTAACCAAACATATTAAGAAAATCTAGTGTTCTTCATAGGGGCGGAACCAGGATTTTCTGTTGAGGGGGGTCAAATAATTACATAACAAAACATTTTCATTCAATGTGAGTCATTCAACAAGATCATTAATGTCAAATTTATATATGCACAGAATATATAAGAATCAACCTCATACAGTATAGTATAATTATTATTGTAATAAAACAAATAAAATTAATTGAAACTAGTCGAATTATTAAATGTAAAAATCAAATCAATTCATCAAATAATCAATAATTTGAATATTTTAAAATTTGTCCTCCTAGCTATATGACACTAATTTCACTTTACCACTACGTTATTTTTATTTTTATTTTTTTTTACCACTACATTATTGATTTGATTATATTGCACCATTAATAATTTGAATATTCTAAAATTTACAATTTTGTACAATACCAAAATCTAACGATTTATGAAAAATGTCACAATTTTAAATAGTTAATGGTCAATATGGTCAAATCAATAGTTGAGGATAAAATAAAATCAAGTTTATAATTTAATGTATAAAGTCTAATTTTAAGAATTTGAGTGGCATATAAAATGTGGTCAAAAACATAATTTTAGGAGTATAATGTATAATTTCAAAAGTTGAGGGGGCAATGGCCCCCCTTGGGCTATAACATGGCTGCGCCACTGCATATTCCAGTTTAGCATGTCGAGATTCGCATCTCATTTTGATCAATATGCGGTTCCTTTTGCATGCTCTAATTTTGTCTCAATAGCTCAAATTTGGTTATGCGGATCCTTCTTAGAAATATCTTGACTTTAAGACCAAAAAGGGTAAATTTTCTGTATTCTCCAAATAAAGTAAAACAATGTATTAGACAATGGATGCATAGTGGCACCTCCTGACACTATATCACTTGCGAAAAACAGAGGCAATTGATTTCTTCCTAGTGCATGGAAAATACACTTTTAGCTTAATCCTTGCATGACATTGTAATGTATGCAATCAAAGTCACCACCTGTCATATCACCATCTCTTTTGCTTTGATTGTCTTTTGTGCTCTTTTATTTTTAATCTAATTATAATTTCTGTAAATCGTCCGTTCTAGTTTTCGAATATTCCACTGGCACTACCTTCTTTTTTGGTTCTGATAGAAACTTACCACTAGTCAAGAAATTTTGAAAACAGAACAGTATCAAAACTGAAAAATTGTCTTAAGTTTTTCAACATGTCATCAACTAACAAGATAACCTCACAAATAGGCCCATGTATGAAGTAAAGGAGGGGTATCGGAGTTGATCAGATCCATTATTGCTGCTCCTTATGTGAGATTTATGTTGTATATGCCTGCAGATGGATTTGATAGCTAAACTAAACCATCCATATATTGTGGAGTACAAGGATGCCTGGGTGGACAAGGTAAATTCAAGGTTTCTGTGTGTGTTTATTTGTACAAGATTGGAAGGAAGCACAGCTAGCTATAGGATATAAATGAAACTGTTACTGCTGAAACTGAGTTTGTTCATATCTACACTAATTTGTTTTGTTTGCAGGGATGCAATGTATGCATTGTAACTGCCTACTGTGAAGGAGGAGACATGTAAGTAATCAATTCTTACTTTGACATACCGAGAATGCAATTATTCACATCTGAAACGTGGTATGAGAGATCCAATTCCGCATCATATGTTTGCTGCCTCACTTTCCTTTGTTAGAATTAGTTCAATAGTTCTAATACCACTTGTTTGGGGATAGGAGATCCAACTAGGGCGTACTCAGTGTACGACACTCCCGCCATTGTAGGGTCTGGGTAGAGTTAGACATACGCAGTTTTACCTCTGCAAGCAGAGAGATTGTTTGCACGACTCGAACTCATGACCTTCAGCTCACAATGGACCAACTTTACCGTTGCGCCAAGGCCCGCCTTTAGATAGTAGATCCAACTAAGAGGCTTAATAGTTACTACACAGATTGGAATTCAACCTTGCCTAAAAGCTTAAACCTATAGATGGGAAGTCCATTAATAGTATATTAAGGCTCTTTCATTTCTTTTTCTTTCAAACTTGCCTAAAAGCTTAAACCTATAGATGGTAAGTCCATTAATAGTATATTAAGGCTCTTTCATTTCTTTTTCTTCCTTCCAACATGGGTTTTCCACATGTATTATCTCAGCAACATCTCTTTCACGTGTGAACCACATCAGGTTTTTACTCCCCTTTGAGTCTTTTTTTGTGCTCTAGAGTACCATGACCAAATCACTCTTCACAAGAGTCTAGGTTTATTTTATTTTTAACTGTCGTTTTCACATGTCACCAAGTTATCTTCTATATCAAGACTCTGTCTATTCCTGTGTCTTATTCTACTCCACTAAGGATCTAGTGGTCAATCGTTTCACCTTTTCTATTGTGATACTGTGACCTCAATTTTAAGAGTCCATCACCTTTCTTAACACGCATCACTAAATGCTACGCCATTACAATACTGTGACTTTGAGTCCTAGAGCCCGTCACCATTCTTAATAGCCATTGTTAATACCGGCATGCCACACTACCGCTTTGAGAGTTCGCCCCAATCATCAGTCTTCAGGACTGATATCATTTGTTAAAACTACTTCAATAGCTTTAATGTCGCATGGTGGGACATAGGGATTCCACCAACAAGGCCCAATATACACATTTTGTACTTAAACTTAGTGAGCTCCTTCATAATGTATAAGGCGCTCTTGTTTTTTTTTTTCCTTCCGATGTAAGATTTCTAGATTTGATATCTCAACATCCTTATCTAATAGTGAAGAAGAAACATATTCTAATGCATGCATTTAAAGTTAAAAATAAGTGAAAAGAAAATTAGACATTCTTAAATGATTGGATCTAGAAATGCATACTTTTTTTCTTTTCTTTGCTTTTTTCCTCCTCTTTTTACATTTAAATTCCTTTCCTGGACGACCAGAGCTGAGATTATAAGGAAGGCAAGAGGAGCATATTTTCCAGAAGAGGTAATTTAGAATAAATTTTATTTAGTTGAAGTTATTTTGTACATAAAATAGCCTACAGGCTCCTACTCTGCATTGTTCCTTTGTTTTGCTCCCCAGAAACTCTGCAAATGGCTGACTCAACTCTTATTAGCTGTGGACTACCTACATTCCAACCGCGTCCTTCACAGGGATCTGAAGGTGAACACATGTAGTTATTGTAATAGTGCAAAAAATGTGTTTTTTTTTTTGTTGTGTTTGTCTTGTTGTTGGGATTTTTTTTTTTTTGGGGGGGAGTGAGAGAAGTGATATTTGACTTATGCTGACACAAACTTTTTTGATTGCAGTGCTCCAATATATTCCTCACGAAGGACAATGATATCCGCGTTGGTAAGAAGAAAAACAGAATTGCTTGGAGACATCGCTCCTTCCATCTTTTCTAAACAAATTTTTGTTTTGTGTGGAGTTTACAGGCGACTTTGGTCTTGCGAAACTGCTCTACACAGAAGATCTTGCCTCATCGGTATGGGTTCACTTCTCTATCTATGATTTTGGTGGTAAATTTGTCTGAATATCTCGCCAATTTTCAATCAGTATGGAAAAAATGCGTACAAAGTTGCATTCATTCCTAGCAAATAAAATCAAGGTGTAGAATCTACAGCATTATGCTCCAATCATGCCAAAAGTGTTCACCTCTACTTTATGTCTACTTAGTACTATACGAACTAATTATAATGGTGGTTATTTGTCAAGTGCCCAATTATCTTTTGCTTCAAGAACTAGGATCATTTCTTGAAAACACATTGCTATGTCTGGTTTTTGCATCAATTTTTAATATTATTTTCCCCTCTACTTTTATCAATGGCTTCCATATCTCGCGTAGGTTGTGGGCACTCCCAACTACATGTGCCCTGAGCTCCTTGCTGATATACCTTATGGCTACAAATCTGATATGTGGTCGCTTGGTAAGAAATGACAATTAATGTACACCTGTTCGCAACATCATGTCCTTGCAATTGCAAAGAATAACATTGTTCAACTATTTTAGGTTGCTGTATGTTTGAGATTGCTGCACATCAACCAGCATTTAGAGCTCCTGTAAGATCAGTCACACTTGAACTATGCGTATACCATCAGTCTCCTATATAACAAGAAGCAGAATAAGTTGCTTCTGTTGAATGTTGAGTGATATAAATCTGATTAATAGCTCAACTGGACAGGATATGACTGGACTAATCAACAAGATTAACAGATCCTCCATTTCTCCACTCCCAATTGTATATTCTTCTACACTGTAAGTGCTCTTTTGAAATCGAGAACGAACTCAGTAGTTCACTATATACTTGTGCCATATATAGAAAAGGATTTTTTTTTTGTGATTAGCCCTCGAAATCTTCATTATTTCATGCTGCAACAACATTTTGTGTCTCAACAGAAAGCAGATCATTAAAAGCATGCTAAGGAAGAGTCCAGAACATAGACCAACTGTGAGTTCATGCAGCACTCATACATGTCTGATTTTTTGAACATTGGGATCCATCCTAATTCCAAAATTTTCCCTATTTTCAGGCTGCAGAACTGTTAAGGCATCCCCATTTGCAACCATACCTCCTCCGGTGTCGCAACCCATCTTCTGTCTTTCTTCCAGTGAAGTCTCCTAGCAAAACACAGGATAAAACAATGAGAAAATCATCACCTAGCAAACTGAATGGTGGCAAAGACTTCAAAGACGGAGAAATAGAAGTACTAGGAGAGGCAGGAACATCTCCACCATTTAAGGAAAATGCAAATATGCAGCCAAGAAGTTTATGGATAAGTGATAACCCAATCTTCAACACTATGGCAGAAGACAACCTTGAGACTAAGAGGGTCGATCCTACAAGCTATTCTGCAAAGATCTCACATGATAGTGAAGATTCAATCAGTGGGGACACAAGTTGTGAGACAACTGTTTGCTATGGAGATGAGCAGGATAATATCAACTGTTTATCACAAAAGGAAAACACCGACCTTCAGAACAACACGATGGACACATCAAATTCTCAGCATGAAGAGCAAAAGCAACCTTCTGCTGAATTTGTTCAACAACTGCAAGAGGGTGATATCGAGAGTGAGGCAACAAAGAATCTGGAGGCATTAGCAGAAAGAAAGGGGGAGAGTTGCACTTCAGAAAACCGCAGTGGAACTACAATGTCCAGTGCAGGCTGTAGTGACAAAGTTGATTCCCTTGGTGAAGAAAATTTTTCATCAGTACAAACTGCGAGTTATGAAGCTGAGGATGAATCAAAGTGCTGTTTAGACAAAATGGAAAATCATGTTGCATGTGCCGACGAAGTCCAAATAGACTACATGTCATCTGAAAGTAATGATGCACTTCCATGTAACGATGAAGTGGGGGTAAAAGCAGATAATAATAGCCATTCGATTGAAACGGAGAAAGATGGCATTCAAGTGATAAATCAGGCACCAAGTCACATTTCAGTGCCAAGTACAGTTACCTCAATAGGAGGTGACGATACCAAGCGTGAGTCAGAGAGTCCAAGCCAGCAAAGAGCCGATGCTCTCGAGTCTTTGCTTGAGCTATGTGCACGATTACTAAAAGAAGACAAACTGGATGAGCTTGCTGGTGTGCTTAAACCATTCGGGGAAGAAGCTGTCTCATCCAGAGAAACAGCAATTTGGTTGACGAAAAGCCTCATGAACGCACAAAAATTTTCTGGGGATCCTAAAATTTGAAGAATTTTGAGATGGTAGACGTCTTTTCTTTCTCACTCGTTGTAAAAGTTGGTGGCTTTTCAGATGCTTTGACATAATTTTTTTTTTCCTTCTGATATTTGATTGAGAACTACATGATTGGAACAAATATGTTATTGCAGATAGTCCCGAGCCTTAGATGGGAGTGAATCACTTTTTTCTTTGTGTGTTGAAGATAGGTTCCTACTGTAGTTTGATTGTCTTATATAGGATATTAACCAGAGCAGCTTGCTGCTTCCTGTTCAAGCGGAGCTCACTGCCTACTTCACGAGTCTCCACAGCTTTGTCTGCTAAAAGCCGTTAGATGATATTTGGGGCCTACTATTCCAACGGCTGACAATGATTTGTTGCACATTGCATTACTCATTGATTTTTTGTTAGAGGAATTGCAACTTGTATCATTGTGCCCTGTTTGGAATGTGGTAACCACAGCCTTGAATTGACCTCTAAAACAATCACAGGTTGGTTAGTCCAGTGGTGCAATATGACCTATCTTGCTCCTATTTCCTCCCATTCTCACCCCCCCCCCCCCCCCCCC